AGCAGCCGCCCCAGGACGCAATACCGCACGCCGCCGGTGAGGGCCGCCAGGGAGGGCAACGAGAGGGCCGGAACGCCCAACAGCTGCACCGCCGAACGCGCGTTTTCGACCACCGCAGACTCCATCCTCACGGACGCGGCGAAGCCGAACGAAGCACGACCACACCAAAGTAAGACGGACGAAAAATGTGGGGAAAAGCCCACGCCACGAGCAAGGGATGCGGAATAAGGAGGATTAGAGTATGAAAACAAATAAAATGGATGCCCTTCCTTTAGTGGTACCCCGCGGGTTCATGACAGAAACGGAGTGAAAAGAAAAAGAACCAAGGAGTTCCATCGTCGTTGCTTCTCATCAAGTTCATTAAAAGAGAGGAGCGAATAAAGACGGATCCACTTATCGCCCAGTGCGCATTTATAATTGGATGCACATTTCTCTATTTTTCTGCATACGTATTGTATCACGCCATAAGCACATCTATATGCATGTGTAAATGTCTGAAGCAACCCCCCTCTCCCCATTCGAGGAGGCTTATGTTACGATTCCTTTTTATCCTCTTCGGAAGCCGCGATGGTGGGATCAGGGGCTGGATCCGCGGTGGGCGCCTCGTATCGCCCCGCCTTGGGCTGAATCGCCATCTCCCGCACCCACCCCTCCATCTCCGTTCCTTTAAACAGCTCCCCCAGCAAATCCCGCGTGTACGGGAGCGGTTTATACCCATCCGCCACCATCCTGGCGTACACCCGCCGTGCGGCGTGGGCATCCTTCGCGGCGACGCAGGCCCCCAACGCGGTGTTGTACGTCACCGGGTTCGGCCGCACGTTTTGGGGATCCCGCATCCGAGCGAGGAGAGCGAGCGCGGGCGCGCACACGCCGGCCCGCCGACAGCCTTCCATCACCGCCGTGTAGGTCAGGACGTTCGGCGCGATCGCGAAGCCCTCCGCGGCGCGGAGCACCGCCATCGCCTTCTCCCACCGCCCCACCCGCGCGCAGGCCGCGGCGAGGGCCGTCAGCGTCTTCACATTCGGCGCCTCCCCCCGCAGCCGCATCTCGGCGAAGAGGCAAAACGCCTCCTCGACCTTCCCCGCCCGCCCGCACGCGTCGATCAGCACCGTGTAGGTGAAGACGTTCGGCCGAACCCGCCGCGCCTTCATCTGGTCAAACACCTCAAAGGCCTCCCGCAGCCGCCCCGCCCGACCGCAGGCGTGGAGGACGGTGGTGTAGTGGAACACGTTCTCGCGAATCGCGGTCGAGGGTTCGATCCGGCGAAACGCCGCGAGCGCGCCCTCCCAGTCCCCCGCCCGCGCGAGCCCCTGCAGCTCGTTCGTTAAACACCGCGAGGCTAAGCCGGCGACGCGTGCCGGAGATAGCGTTGTCATGGTCGTCAATCCTGGCGGCCCGGCCAAACGCGTTTGGATTTCGGTTTTACTTACTGCTTCCTATCCCAGCCCTGCAAAATCGCCCTGGGAGTTCTTCATGGATGGGAATTCATAGAAGAAAAGAAAAAGTCAAGTAGTATCGATGCGAAAGATGCATAAGGTGGATAATTGACAACAGTAACATACGCATAGACACATGCCCAAAAGTTGGACAGACAATTTTCTCTTTTCTTCTTTTTTTTTTTGGATACCCATGGTTCATTCCATCATCAATGTTATTGGCAGTGTGCTTTAAAATTGCTTGAACACACAATCGAAGGAAGGAAAATAAATAAAGTCGTCGTCATACCGGCAGGCAGTGCTAGGAATCCCAAATGCGGCACTGCTCGTTGCCATGGCCGACCTTCTTGGAGCCTTTCAGCCACGAGGGGTGGAGGAGCCACCCGGGGAGCTTCTCCTCATAGCATTCGAGCACCACCGAGGCGAGGCGTTTACTGCACTGCAGGACGAGCCCATCCCGTGAGGAACACTCACGAGATCCCCCCCCCTCCCCCTCTCCCTCCCCTTTGGGCGCGTCGCGTTGAAGACGCCAATCCGGCGTCATCGCGGATTTCATCCCCACAATCACGCTTTCGTTCCAGCCGTGTAAATCCACCGCCTGAACGTTGCGCATCCCGAAGAGCCGCCCGAACGGCCTCAAACTCGCCAACGACGGCAGCTGATGGAGGTTCACGACGAGCAACCCGCCAACGAGCAGGCGATCAAAGCAAAGGTTCGCAATCCGCATATCGCTCCGCATCTTCCCTTCGGTTGGTTCGAAGAGATCCATGAAAATCATATCAAACAAGGTCGTCGCGAGGGTGCCTTTTAAACACCGCACGGCATCCTCGAGGTGAACGTGAAAGTTCCCGTCGTCGTCGCCCTTCGGCAGTGTTCCGGCGCGCTCGCAGGCCCGCACGACGGCGGGTTCGATCTCCACCACGTGCAGCTCTACCGCCGCACCGAGGGCGTAGCGAAGGCTGACCGCAATGCTGTTGCCGCCCATTCCTAAAATCAGCACCCGCCGCAGTGGGGGAGGGCAGAACGCGTGAAATCGCGCGATGAAACCTCCTACCTCGCTCGAAACCCCACCACCGTTTGAAAGCATCGGAGTGGGATCCTCCGAGGAGGATTTCTTGGCGACGGGAGAGCCCCCCGCCCCGCCGCTAATTTTATGATCGAGATACATAAGCGAGGAATACGTTAAAAACGCAAAGCTCACCATCGTCCCCGCAACGCACTGCATCACCTCAGGCTGGTTTGTCAAGAGAACGGATTGGATGTGATAACTTCGGGAATCCCCTTTGCCGTTGTGGTGCGCGTCGTGGTGGACGAAGTGCATGGTTCCCAGCTTCCAACGGTGCTCTTCTAGCCGAACCGCCCGCCAAACGCGTGAGGGAGACGCCTCCGCACCCGGATGGGGGTCGCTAACGGCCCGATCGTCCGAGCGAGGTCTTTTCAGGTAAATTTTCACCTGAATTCGGGCCTCCGTCGCGGCCCACACGACATCCACCCCGGAAAAAACCTCACAGGGAAGACGACAAAGCAACGAGATCTCGCAACCCAAAAGGACCGGGTTCGATTTCACCCGTCGTTTCATGTCGACGTAGCACCTCCAAAAAGGAAGGGTGCGGAGGAACTCTTTTCGAACCCCACGAAGGATCGTTGCGTCAGAGATGATGCCGTGATTGGAACTGGAAGAGGATTTCCTGCTGCGGCGTTTCGTCGTTGGCAACTCCAACGCCGTTTCCGCCACGGCGGGGGTTGTTTTGGAGGCGCTCATCCTTTTTTTCTAACGGTGCGATCCCAAAGGCTTCCTCCTCCTCCCCCCCTCTATCACCTAAACCGAGCGCGTCGTCGGAGCTTTTCAATTGAGGAAATCCCTCCAGCAGGAATAGCTTCCGTGGTGATGATGGTCAGACCTCCTTGACTGCTCCTTTGCGCGCTGCTTTTGTGTTTTCTATTTTATTTTTCTACACTTTTTAATTCAAAATAATGAGATAAAAGGGGCTCATGAGGTGTGGGGGGGGAGGTAGGTTGAACATTCCAGGCCGGGCTTCACTTGATATGATACCAATTTGTCTTCGCCCACCAACTCACATTTGTTTGAGTTGTTATTCGCATTGCTATTGGCAAGATAGCGCAATGGGGGTTGGGTGCTTTGGCATCGCTAAACCACTGTTGAATTAGGGATGACCAGACATAGTCATGTGTTATGGGTTGGTATTGCTGCAAGTGCAGAAATTGTATACAAATGCCCTCGTGGAGAAATAAAAGTAAAGATCATAAAGTAGAAGTTATGCGCGAGAAACATCCGGGAACAGTTTTTCAAAAGTAATAAGTGTGCTAGGTATGATTGATAGCGTAACGAAAAGGGTGTATTGTATGCGCTACAACATGACTGTTGACTCCTGCATGGACCTCCCCCCTCCCTCCTCCTCCCCTTCGCAACCCTCTTAGCAGAACTCATCCATGCAGAACATCATTTTCAGCTAGAAGAGTTAGAAGAAATGATATCAAACACGACGGTCTCTGCACGCACACTCGTACTATGGGAACATAACCTCTTTGGATGGACTAAATAGCGTCCCCCTTTGAGTTGTGTTTACACGCAGCAGATTCGAATAAACAATTGAGGAGAAAAAAACGCCTCCTTGGAGGTCGGCATCATATCCATTAAACCAGCCTATCAGGGAATCCAAAATTACCACCTGTCCGAGTAGGAAAGATCGCTTACCCCCCATTCGTTTCCGGATTCAATCTGGAGTTCGCTCTTCGCCTTTCCGTAGTGGAGGCAAATGGTGCGTGCGCGGCGCCGCCGTCGAATCCAACGACACCAAACGAGAGCTCAGGCGGGCGTAGCGGCGTTGGAGATCCGACAGCTCCGGGGTGGAGCGTTGCGAGGGTGGGGTTTCCACCCCCGTGCTCACCCGAAACGGCATCGACGCGATCGGGCTGCGGGCACCGCTTCTCCTACTTCGCCACTCGCAAAACGCTTTGCTCAAACCGATGTTGGCGAGGAGCTCCGCCTTCTCCGCACGGCGCCGCCTCGCCTCCTCCTGCCGCATCACAAAAAGCCGCACCCCACAGATCTCCTCTCCGCCCTCAGGGGAGGAAGAAAATCCGCCATCCGACCCTCTTCCCCCGAGATGGCTGCCTTGCCGGACGCTATGGGCGTTTGTCATGGGGCGAAACGTACACGACTCCATCTCCTCCTCCTCTTTTTTTTGCTGCTCCTGACGAATCCGCTCCTCGCGCTGCCGCTGAGCCTCGATCTGACGTTGGAAGAAGGCCTCGGCGTCTTCCGGGCGAATCACCCGCCTTCCGGAGCTGGAAAGTTGCGAATGGCAGGCATCCATCTCGAAGTCCGAGCCCGATTCGTTTAGGGGCCCGCCCCTATTCCCAAGAACCCTCTTTTCCACGCTAGTTGGTCGCCGCGAAGAGTGGAAATACCCCTTGTCGGACGACGTCCCACTGAGGCGGCGCTTGGAGGGTTCTTTCTCGTCTTTCGCCGTGGACGACCCCGGGCGGGTGAGGCGAGAGACGACGTCCTTCTCGCGGTGCGGCATCTTCCGCAGCACCTGAAGCGAGCCCTTGGAAAGCTCGGGTTTGAACGGGCACGCCTTCTCGAAAGAATCGCCCGCCTTGGACGATTTCACTTTTGAGGCTTTCACGGCATCGTTGTAAAGACGCTCCACCTGGCTTAGGATCGTATCCGAGCTCACGCGAGCGTGGGCAAAGGCTTGCCTTCGTTTCGCCTCCTCCTCCTCGGCGAGTAGGTCCTTCAATTCCTCCCGAGCCTCATGGTAGATCTCCTGACGGGAGATAAAATCCTTCGCAAAGAACTTCTGATTCTCACTCCGTTGAAGCCAGTCGTTCGTGTAAGGGTTGATATGGGGTTTATGCCCGTGGCAGAGTTCCTCCTCCTCACGCCTCCGCAGCTCCTCCGCGAGCTGGAGTTTCTTCACGTGGGAGACCATGCCTTTTTCGTAGAGAAGTTCGCCTCGTTTCAAGGGGCGGGAGGATTCCTCGCCGCTTTCCGCTTTTCGCGCGCGCGCCGCCTCGTCGAGGGCGATGGAGTTCGATGAGATTCGTGGGTGAAACGACGTCGAAGGGGCCTCGCACTCCGCCATGGCGCTCTTTTGCTCCCGTCGCCGCAGGAGCTCCTCGTTGCGCTCCTCAAACTCCCGCTGCGCGAGCCGCCGGGATTCGGGATCCATCGAGGAGAGGTTGCCATTTGCGCTCAAACTCAACCTCCCCTCCTCTTTTTGCCGGCGTTGCAACTCCTTATGACGCTCCGTGGCGCGGCCATAGCGCAGAAGACGATCCTCCACCCTCCCCTGCCTCTCAAGCTCGGAAGAATTCCTTGACAGGCGAGGGGTGGTGTTGATTTGAGGGCGAAATGAACACTCCCGGGAGTCTCGCTCCTCGCGCTGTTTTTGCCGCTCGCGCTGCACCGACTTCGCGTGAAGCTCCTCGGCCTGCCGCGCGAGGCGATCGAAGACGGAAACGTTCGGATCCGAATGACGATGGGATCCCTCCGCCTCCCTTTCCCTTCCCCTTTCATCCTTCGAATGCTTTGATGCCCGGCCTTTGGACGCCCCGCTGCTGTGGACCTTTGGTTGAAACGTGCACTCGCTCATGTGCAGCTCCTCCTGGAGTTGCTTCCGCCTCGCTTCCCGAGCTCGCCGCATGCGCTCCTCGAAACGATATCGCTCACGCGTGCCGAGGGGGTAGTAGCGCTCGTCCATCTCCTCTTCGTCATCGTCATCGTCATTGTCGTCGTCGTCGTCTTCTTCTTCCTCTTCTTCGGAAGAAGAAGAGATCGAGCTGCACATCTCAGCATCGGTGGAGGTCCATCTCATCGGTATAGAAAAATTTCGTAAGCAAACGCGGTGGCTTTTGTTTTACGCCGTGTGAGTGTGTGTGCTTGTGAGTGTGTGAATTGGGGAAAGGAACAGGGGGATAGATACTACAATAACCTCCGACCGTTTTGATTCAGTTTTTTTTTCCTTTCCCAGCCTTCAACGAGAAACCAAAAATGGATGTAGAAAGAAAAATGATGTCATATCGATAGAGTGGACAAAATAGCAAGAACGCAATGGAAACCACACCAAAACTCTCTATTCTCCTTCTCATGTGCTACGTATGACTTATTCAGGGCGCTGTAATCCTTTTTTTTTTTCGTAGAGAGGAAATAGGGGAAGCACGAAATAGTCTTCTTCTGTTAGGCCTCTCACCAACTCTGCTCCACCTTCGTTTTTCTATCTACCAAACGGTTCTCGGAAGCACCTCAGGATAACTTGTCCGGGGTATCCCCCGCCGGCCTCACGACCACACCCTTCTGCAGGACAATCCGCAACTCCTCCGGCATCTCCGGGGTGATTTCCTTCACAAACTGCAGCATCCTCGCGGCGAGCGCGCGGTAGACGAACTCCTCCTCGCAGTGCAGCATCGTCAGGTATCGACTCGCGCGTTGGATCTCCGCCACGCTCATCGAGCGCGCCATCGGGGCGAGGTGGGAGGCGATCACCTTCGCGGTGGCGATCGGGCACGCCGCGGCGAGGCTCAACCCCATCATGATCGGCTCCAGCTGCGCCCAATCCTTCAGCCCGTGGCGGAACCCCGTCGCGGCGGCGAGGGTGTAGAACTCGACG